AAGGGGCATATCACTTTTCTGCAGCTGCTATGGAAACCTTTGGCAACATCTGCCTAATAAGCTCACTACCCAGATGTATATACTCATGGTGTATTTACTGATAACTTTACAAGGAGTTTTCTTTAAAAAAGCCAACATTCCCCTTCTTACCTTGTACTGGGAATACTCTCTGAATTAAACCACGACTTATAACACTTTTTATTATTTCTGAACTTGGTTTTCTATGGGGAGATGAACAGGTATACGATTTTACTGGGACATGATGCAATACTATCATTCACCATCATCATCATGCATGCAAATTCCAAAGGGGGACAGCCTGCTTGCAGCTCAAGTACCACTCCAATTGATCTCTAGCTAAGTCCTTAAGACAGTCTGGCTGGATGTTCAGTCTAGGGTGACCAAACGTCCCGATTTTATCGGGACTGTCCCGATATTTGCTTGTTTGTACCGTGTCCCGACTGATGTTTGGTCGGGACATGGGACAAGAACAATTTTGCCCTCCGCTCCGGCACTCAGGCGGAGCCTGGATGGGCTCTTGCCCCCCCCGCCCCATCTTTCCCCCATTGGATCCCTCCCCAAATCCCCGCCCTGGCCCCGCCTCTTTACCAAGCACGCGGCATTCCTCCTCCCTCCCAGGTTTGCACACGGGCCATGGCCGGGAGCACAGCACAGAAGCTGTTCCAGCCCTGCAGCCCCTGGGGCAGCGCAGTGGTTCTGGGGGCAGCACGGAGCTGGCAGGGCCCGGGTGGGTGGAGACACGTGTGGGGCGGACACGCTCCTGCTAGGAGGGGCCGGGCCGGCTGCCTGGTTCGCCCCCTGTCCAGGTGGGTCCCCGAGCTCCCCATGGCCGGAGAGGAGCTACCAGGGGCTGCGGGGGCGAGTGTCCCAGGCGGGGCGGAACGGAGCAGCCTCTGCTGCGGGGCTGGGGCAACGGAGCCCGGGAGCTGCAGGAGGGGCCCGGAGCGCGGCTCGGCTGCACAGCTCAGAGCCCAGGCTGGGCCCGGGAGCGAGAAGCTGGGGGGTATTGGGGGTCAGAGCCAAGAGTTGGGTGGAGACGGGTCTGTGCCACTGACACCTAGTGGGGGCGGGGTGGGGAAGGGGGGGGCCTCCGCTCCAGCTTTTTTTTTTTGGTTCCGCCCCCCCCAATATTTCATCTTTGTCATCTGGTCACCCTAGTTCAGTATGACTGTCTTTGGCAATCTTATTGTGCCACTGAAGCTTTTGATGACCACCTAATCTCCAGTCATGTAGCAGCATCAGTTGGCAAACAGGAGTTGTAATTTGTTATACTATCACTGTTTTTAACTAAACATTATTGACAAAAGCGCTTAATTTCTTTTGAAAAAAATTTTTTCTTTTGATAATGACAAATGTAGTGAACTTTCACACAGATAACCTTTTATATAAATAAATGATGGAGAACACCACTTTGGCTTCTAGCAAAGGGCAACTCCTTAGAGACTTAATAGGATGAAGCAATTATAAACCTTTTCTACTAAAAACATATTTAAATTCAAACATATAGGTAGAACCAACACCAGTTAGGCACCCAGAAAAGGATGTTGAATGACTGATCAAATGTTCTGGCTGATGAACTTGAAAGTAGTGTTTTTGTTCCAGTTCCAAGGCAGGCTGCCCGCCCAACCTCACCATTCCCACTCCACCTTAATTGCTCCTCTTAAAATAACCATTTATGGTCCAGATTGGGGCCAAGCTGTCTCTATGCTAGACTCAATTACAACCCCTCCACTCTGAATTGTTGCCTGGAGTTCAAAAGTCTGGGATTCAGAGGCTCTAGATCAGGGGTGGGCAAACTTGGCCCGCGGGCCACATCCAGCCTGTCAGACCATTTAATCCGGCCCTGAGCTCCCGCCGGGGAGTGGGGTCAGGGATTTGCTCTGCTCCGCACGGCTCCCAGGAGGCAGCCGGCAAGATCCCCCCCTCCGGCTCCTACGTAGTACATGGAGGCTTGGCCAGGTGGCTCTGCGCACCACCCCGTCTGCAGGCACCGCCCCTGCAGCTCCCATTGGCCGCAGCTCCCATTGGCCACAGTTCCCGGCCAATGGGAGCTGCAGGGGTGGCACCTGCAGATGGGGCAACGCACAGAGCTGCCTGGCCAAGCCTCGGAGCAGGAGGAGGAACATGCTTCCAGGAGCTGCTTGCGGTAAGCGTCACGCGGAGCCTGCACCCCTGAGCCCCCCCACCCCCCGTGCCCCAATCCCCTGCCACAGCCCTGATCCTCCTCCTGCCCTCCGAACCCCTCAATCCCAGCCCAGATCCCCCTCTTGTACCCCAAGTCCCTCATCCCCAGCTCCACCCCAGAGCCCTCAAGTCTTGAAGCCAATGAATGATACATAGATGGGAAAGACTGCAGAGCAAGCTTTCCAGTGCCCTTAAATAGAACTTCTCAAATACCCAACCTTTCTGCACTCTCTGTGATAACGTTGAGCAACCTGCTTTGGTTTTCCAGTTTTAAAAATCTCATTGCCAATGACTTTATTCCACCCAAAATACTATGTTGCAAGAACATTAAGGTTAAAGCAGCAGAAGTCAGGAAAAGGCTACAGTGAAGTTGCACACTTTATCTATGACCCTAATGAGCATGCTCTACAATACAGTCTAACTTAAAGAGCGCATACTAGTTCTAAAAAATACAAATATACTTTTCTACAAATCAGATGAATATCCACAGCATCCTGTTTTTTTTCCATTGTCATGAAGTGGAACATATTGTCTTCATTAACACTCAAGTACTAAAAACTTATTTATAGTAAATAAACCTTGCTTGAGTAAAATTCAGGGAATAAGTCAGTTAAGAAACACGCTAATCTAGCTGTGAATTTGTGGCGTTTATATGCCAGGAAGTTTTCCTAATTCCTCTGTATGGTACATTTAACATGATGTATGATGCAAAAGTATGGTTTATTGTATACCTTTCATACAAATGGCTTTCATAAACTCAGACGTACACAAACAACATCTTGTATTACTGTGTATCTAAGGTTATAGAAAAATGTATTAAATTGCATACAGTGCATGTGATCATTAAAGATGATATTGCAGAGAATACACAGACGGGGGAGCATTACCTAGCATATGAAACCATAACTTAATTTATTTTCCATAGTGCATAGTGAGAATCCTTAGTTGTACAACTTCATGTCACATAATTTCTTACGTTTTTCTAAAAGAAAAAATAAAACAAAATGTTCTTAACTGTCCTGCTGGTTTGCAAAGAACTGACAATAGCATGTGTAAATTCTATAATCTGGAATTATTCTGCTAGACCCCACTAAACCACATTGTCCCTTACATTTGAAGTCAACAGCAGGTAGGGGTGCCTTAGATGTCTATCTTCAGAAGTCCACAAGAAATAGCCTCTCCTATACCTTAGCAACTGCACCTAAAAGACCACACAGCAGAGTTCCCGCTGCACACCTCACTGAGAACAGCAACCCTTCCTAAGGCTCTCCACACTACACAGATGGCCTTGCCTACAAGCAGAAGTTGCACTAATTTCACTTATATCAGTGCAGGGAGACAAGGAAGCCTCAACTCCTGTACACCTGAAATGCATTTTTTCACTCTGCAATTAAGTTAATCATGCAAGTAAATCCTGCTGATCCGGCTTTCTTTGAAGACAACGGCTATGGCTAAACACCCATTCAAAGCAACAGGAGAAGGACTGGGCCCTTGAATAGTATAAAACCTCTGATATGGAACATGAGAGCCATTTCAACAATGCATAGTAACAACATGCAACTATTTAGGATGGAAAGCAAATACAAGTACTCCATTAAAACTGCAGGAGAAAACTGAGTAGACATGTAATTTTAAAGGTGCAAGACACCCAACTACTACAAGACAGAAACAGATCAAGTGTTAGGGATAGAATACAACATACAGGCAAATGAATTACCTGTCAAGACAAAAGTTAAAGGTTCTGTTTTTCTTGCAATTGCTGATTCATCACGAATACCAAAAACAAATGCCTCCACCCTACCCCAAGATCTACACCAAGATAAGTGAAGATATCAAATGTTACCAGGGAAAGAGAACCTCAAAGCTCTGACTGAAGAATGGACAAGACCACGACAGTATTTAGCAACAGTAAATTTCCTTAGCTAGCTGGAGTGATCACTGCTGAAAAATGAGAAAAGTTCCTTGCCCCCCTTCGCCCCCCCAAACAGGTACACTGTGTTAGAAGTAATTTCAGCCCTTGCCAGTCAAGGGTAGCAGAGACAGGAGCAGGGAATCCAGACCACCTAACACAGTACTACCACCAGGCCACTTGCCCCTACCCGCTTTCAGATTTCACACGTACCAATTAATTGGCTCATTTTATACACAAATCTACATTAATTCCACATAAAACTGATTTTATTCCGTTTGTTGTAAAAGCGAACAAAGACGGACGTTAAGTTTGTTTTAAATGTTTTACATAGAAAAAAAGAAATTAATCCCAGCACACTGCAGTCTTCCACCTGCCACAGTTGCCTCCTTCATTTCACAGCGATCAAAGCTAGAGAAGATCTACGGGGCTGCTTAGGAAGTGCGCTGCTCCCGGACGGTCTTTCTTTCTGCCTCTTAGTCCCACACGGGAAACAAACGTCAACTGTATTTTAAACGCAAGCGAAAAGGAGGATCCCACCTGGACCCCCGTAACTGCAGCTCCCTGCAAACATTTCACCGGAATACGCGTCTCATTTCGGGCCGCTGGACGGAGCAGGCCGAGGACAAGCCCACTCCGCTCCCACAGCGCTGAGAGCCGCGGCTGGAAAGGTCCCCGCCGCGCTGCTCCAGGGAATTGACAACGGACTCCTGGCTGCAGTGACCCGGCCCGCCCCAGCCCAGCCCGTGGCCCCCCGCACCCCCCTCCCCGACTCGCCCCATCTACCAGCTCAGGTCCCCCCAGCTCTCACGAAAGCCCCCCTCGGCCTTTTCCTCCTCAGCGCCCCCCACCCCTTCACCAGCGCCCGCCCCCCCCGGGCTCTCACCGACACCGCGCTCAGCCCCTGTTGCTCAGACGCCACCATCAGGATCTCCCGGAAATCCATGTCTGCCCGGGGCTGGCTCCGCTCTGCGGCTCCGGGAGGCGATGGGCCGGCGGCGAGACGGGCCCAAGACCGCCCAGCTGAGAAGGCTTCACTCCAGCTGCAACTCCCCCCTGACCGCTTCCGGCCCCCCCCCACAGCCGAGGACTGCGCCGAACCAACGTCTTATATGACCTCGTACACGTCACCACCTTCATGCGTCACTTCCTGGCTAACGTCACATTCCCCCCGTGCCTGGGACACGTGTCATCAACAACACGTGACTCGGGTTCTAGTGGCTCCACCTCTTCCCTGCGGCAGGGAGACGGAATCAGGGCTTTAGGCCCCGCCCCCACGGTGCAGGGAGGGGACGGGGTCAGGCCGGGGCTCCAGCCAGTCCCCAGGGTGGGGTCAGAGCTCTGGCTCCGCCCCCAAGGAGCGGGAAGGGTGCGGGAATCAGGGTTGCCACCGGGGTACAAGTTGGTGGGAATCAGCTAAACAATCCTTTCACCTCCCCAACCCCTGCCCTTAGGATGCAAGGGAGGGGAATCAGAGCTACACTCCCTTGCCCAGGATGCAGGGAATTGGGGAATCAGTGGTACCTGCTCCCCACCCTTCCCCCCCCCAAAAAAATGCAGGGAGGAGAGAATCAGGCCTCTATACCCTCTCTGATGCAGTCTGGGATAGTGGTGGGATTCAGAGCTGCACAACAAGCCCCAAATATTCCTAAACTAATTAAAATGTTAAATTCCAGGTACAAGTTCTAGAACATGTTGCAAACTACTCCCTTCTCAACCTGGCATCACCAGTCTTGCTAACTTGCAGTTTCATGGAGACTTCTGTGATACTTGTTGTTTTTCTTGAAGCATCAGTTCCTGGAATCGTGATTGTAATGGATTCTCAGTTTTCATTTTTTAAAAAGTAATTTTTACCTCCTCTGGTTGCAGAGAAAACGTGACCCCAAAAGACTCAAAAGCCAGATGGTTAATGAAAAGAACCCAATTTTTGTTATTTTTTAAAAATCTCATAATTTTAAGATGATCTCATGATGGGAGGGGGGCAGATTTATGCTTTTTGAATGCTTGGAGTGGGCAATACTGCATCACAAAACTTCAAAAGGGCAAACATACACTTCAGGAAAGAGTGTGGTGGGCTGTGTGTGCCCTCTCCTTCCTCCCCTGTACACACATAAATTTGACTCCTAAAATACTTGGTAGCCTAACATTACTCAGAATTCTATACAGGAGCAAAATCTGTAGCCAAACTCTAACTGCAAATTTCATGAATGGGACAAAATCCCAACACAAATCCTATATTTGCAGTTCTGCAAAAATTAGGAACTCTCATGAAGACTGTAAGGCAATTTCTTTTTGGCTATCAAGATATGAAAAAGGGCACTCAGCTTCTGGCGCTGTGTCAACTAAAGCAGCAGGCACTCTGTGTACCAAAAATGGAAAACCTGATAACACATTCCATTCCCACATAGCAGCAGGTCTGAGCAATGCTCAGCTACAGAACAACAGAGTAAACATCTCAACCCAAACTCAAATGTTCCTCAAATCATTGACAAAACCCCAAAAGACAACACAAACCACTGAGAAGAACAAATGAGAGGTAATATTGAGTCTCATCAATACCCTTAACTCTACCATCTCTTCCACTCTCAACTCATGTGTTCCTACCAGATCCCAGCCCTGGCTTACACCTCAGATCCAATTCCTCTGGCCTGATTGCCTCAAAACAAAATGGAGACCTAGGAGATTTTTTGTGTATAAGATTGCCCTCTTCTCCTCCAGTTCTGTCATCTTTCTCACCCAACAGTCCTATTTCTCCTACCTCAAAACCCCAACACTTGGCTGCCAGTTTTCACTTCCTCCTTAAACTCTCCATCACTCACCCTCTCCACCCAGATTCCTGTTGACTGCAGGAAGATTGGCAAGATTGGACGTTCCTCCACTTCTCATCCCTTCCTTTTCCACATCCCTTCTTTTCAGTCACCAGGGTGAGGGGGTGTTTTTTAGGATGGGGGAATAAATTTCTGTTTGTACACATAGGGAAAGCAGTAAGAGGACAGAGAGAGTTTCAAGGCAAGGGAATTGTGAGGGCAGGGGCAAGGAAGGTGAACAACAGAAGAAGAGTGGGTCAAAGGGGAAAGTGGAGGAATTGGAAGTGGAGAATAGATGACCTGAGGTTAGTCATTTATTCTCCACTTCCAGTTCCTCCACTTTCCCCTCACAATTCCCTCACCTTGAAACTCTCTCTGTCCTCTTTCTGCTTTCCCTGTATGTATAAACAGGCATTTATTCCTGCATCCTAAAAAACACCCCCTCACCTCATCCATCTCTCTCCTCCCCTTTACTTCTAATCTCAGTGGAAGTCTGGCTACAAGTGCTGCAACAACATCCTTTCCTTTGACTTACTCCTAGGTCCCCTCCACACCGGGTTCTAGCCCCTTCATTCCACTAAAGTCCACAACAACCTTCTCAGCCAAGTTTCAGGGCCTGTGCTCCTTCCTTGACTTCACCAGTGGCTTTGATACAGTGGATCACTTATCTTCAACATTCTGTCTTCCCTCAGAATTTATTATGCTGTTTTCTCCTGGTCCTCTTCCTACAGAAATCAACCAGTGTCTCTTTCACTAGAACTTCCCGGCTCATTTCCTCATTTGTCATGCCCCTGCCCTCCCTTTCTGGATAGGTCTCCTGGCTTGGTTATGACTCAGATTCCTGTGCAGTGGTCACCAGCCGGTAGATCGTGATTGACTGATCGATTGTGGCGCGCCTGACAGTCGATCTCAGTCTCGTCTAGGGTTGCCAATCCTCCTGCAGCCAAACCGGGAGATCGGCTGCTAACAGTCCGGCAGCACAGCGGGGCTAAGGCAGGCTCCCTGCCTGCCCTGACCTCGTGCCGCTCCTGGACACGCACCCCAACCCCCTGCCCCAGCCCTGAGCCCCCCCGCACCCAAACTCCCTCCCAGAGCCCACACCCCTTCCTGCACCCCAACCCCTGGCCCCAGCCCTGAGCCCCTCCCACACCCCAACCCCCTCCCAGAGCCTGCACCTTGCACCCCCTCCTGTACCCAAACCCCCTGCCCCACCCCCTCCCAGAGCCCACACCCTGCACCCCAACCCGCTGCCTGAGCCCTCTCCTGGAGCCAGCACCCTGCACCCCAACCTCATGCCCCAGGCCTAAGCCCCCTCCTGCACCTAAACTCCCTCCCAGAGCCAGCACCCTGAAACCCCTCCTGCACCCCAACCCCCTGCCCCAAGCTCAGGCCGGAGCCCCTCCCACACTCCAAACCCCTCGGCCCCAGCCCAGAGCCCGCACCCCAACCCCCTGTCCCAGCCTGGTGAAAGTGAGTGAGGGTAGGGGAGAGTGAGTAACAGAGGGAGGGGGGATGGTTTGAGCAGGGTGGGGCCTCAGAGAAGGGGCAGGGAAGGGGCATGGCCTCAGGGAAGGGGCAGGGCAGGGGGTGGGGCAAGGGTGTTTGGTTTGTCCTAGGGGAGTGAGGCTATTAGTCTGGGACTTCTGTGTTTGCTTAGTTTAGTCTTTTTTGCATTTGATAATTACATTTGGTCCCATACACTCTCTTAATTCTGCTGACTGTAATCCTGGGAATGAGTGCAGGAACTAGGGTAACCAGATAGCAAGTGTGAAAAATTGGGACAGGGGGTGGGGAGCTATAGCCGCCTATATAAGACAAAGCCCCGAATATTGGGACTGTCCCAATAAAGTCGGGACATCTGGTCACCCTAGCAGGAAACTGATCTTTTCCTAGATCTAACAGGATAACAAAGGCCAGTCTTGGATACAAGTACTATGATTCTTTAGAGCCCTGCATTTTTGTGACGCTCAGTACCCAGTTGCTACTTTTTCTTGTGCATCATAATAGAATGACATCCCCGCCAACATTGTCTACACTAGTGGTGATTAAAATGATGTGTCTGTGTGCCATCAGGTTGTGTGGTATAGACATTTCATGGGCCACTGATGAGTGACATGTAAACATTCCCAGGCAATGCCTGAGGGATGGATATCATTTCCATAAAATAAAAATGATTTCAGAAATTTGAGCACATTTACACATCATCTTGTAGCCTGGCATCACCCAGTCTCTTCTTTGGCAGTAGTGTGACACAAGGGACTGGAAACTTGCTGCTGTGGATAACTACAACCCTGTATCTTCAGCCAGCTCCAGTACATCATTTAAGGAAGTCACTTCCGACATTTTGTCTAGTAGTCCCATGAACTTCTCATATGTTTGACCACAATGTAAAGAATAATTCCACAATAAACTCATCAGACTTTCCCAAAATAGTGATTCAACTCATGGAGGACAACACAGTATACCAACTCCAGAGTTTCTAAGCCTGATTTCCTGTTATGACCTGGCATAAAAAAGGTAGGAGATTTTTCTTCTGATTTTGTTTTTTCCAAACTTTCTGATCTGACTGATCTATTGCCTAATTACCCTCAAACTTTCCACAATATAATTACCAAAAAAAAAAAAACTTAACTGAAGAGGAGAAATTTCAGTTAGATTGGTTCATTTTGGCTACAGCCACTGGACATTTTTCAAAGAAAATTTCACATTTTTTCTACTAGTTTATAGAGCTAGTTAATTGTTTTAAAAAATTATGCATCTCAGTACAAGTTTCGGGGGAAAAAATATCCCCATGAAATGTTACCACGATTTGTCAACCAGTTCTAATTTTGGCAAAGTTAAAGGAAATTTCAAAAAACAGTTTTATAGTGAGAAGCTACTTACAACTGGAACTGGTTGAAAAAAATGGACTTCTTTTTCACCAAATGTTTTGCCCAAAAAATGTTTTCAATGAAAGTTTGAACCAGCTATATTTATTACAGTGATAGGCCCCAATCACACTTTTTATGTGCTACGTGACTAGTCTCATTAATGTCAAGTTAAACACGTGTATAAGTGTTTACAGGACTGATGACTTAATTTACAGGTCAGCTACAGTTATCAGATTTCAGAGAGATAGATCTGTGTGGAACTTCAATATTTTGCTTTTTTTCAGATAGTATTTTGTATCAGTTATTCTGTCCCCATTTCATACAGCATACTTAGTGTAATAAATTGAATGTTTATTCCAGCAAAATCATCCTAATGTCCAATGGTAAGTTCTCAAGATCATAAATCACCTTAGATATTAGCAT